GGGGGGAAAATGAGCCTGACACCAAGTGCTCGGGTGGAAAGCGGGTGTTGTGAGAATGATGAAGTCAACATATGTACTAATGTGCTGGACACAAATGATGTATGTACGGATTGTGATGAGTTGTATGAGCCCCTAATAAAATGATTATTTAAAAACAAACAAACCCCACCCACTGAAAGCTATGGTGCACAGTTCTACACTGACACACACGGGATCATCGTGAGCCAGAGCTCACTCAACAGCATGGGAACGGATCATCGTGAGCCAGAGCTCACTCAACAGCATGGGAACGGGGCCTACTCAGAATCAGGAGGCTTTACTGATCTAGAGCGTCTCCAGACGAGGGGGTTTTCCAAGGAAGAAATGCACAGAGGAAGAAACTCTCCTGGTTCCCCCATCAATTAGAACCTGTGTTCCTCAGGCTGCTCAGGATGTAGACGGAGTCTGGGAAGAAAGACTGGAAGGCCAGCCTGTGTCTGGAATTCTGCTTGTGACAGGAGATAGACCTCCTACAACGACACCAGAGCCTCTCACTGTTCCTCTCTCAAAACACGGGACTGAAAGGCGGGGGAGACCTGCCATCCATTTGAAATCACAGCCTTCTCGGCCCCTTTTGTGAATGCAGTCGGACGACTATGATGAAATGGGGAAATGGCTGGGACGAAGAGAGAACAATCTTGTGTTTGAGGGTTGTCCATGGTAAACGTCGGGTAATTATTGATTATTGAGAAGAAATGTATCTTTCAAAGGGAAGTTTTACCTACCTTTCTGAAATCAAAAATCAAACAAAACTACATACTCTTCTTCTGTTTTAGAAGCTCTGGGCTTAAGGCCAGGAGGGGACCTGGTGGTTTAGGGGGTTACACACTGGGCTTCTTACTGCAAGATCAGCAGTTCGAGGCCACCAGCCACTCCATGGGAGAAGAATGAGGCATCCTGCTCACATACAGATGTACAGTCACATAGGGGCAGCTCTCCTCTGCCCCACAAGGTTACTAGGGGTCAGAATGGACTTTCAGAGAGGTTGGGTTGGTTTGGGTTTTGGCTTAAAGGCATCAGACTTCAAATAGGATGAGTGACACAAGAGGATTAAAAACTTAAATGAGAGATTAAATAGTTGGTTGAAGAAGTTTAGGCCTCACACCTGTTCCTTGAACATCTGATGTCTACTTATTCCTTTAACTTTTATCAGACCTAAAATCTACTCATCAAGGGCAGGGTTCGCCCACCAAATTCCAAACCCAAAATGGCCAGAGGGCAGAAATGCTGACAAGTGTAGACACATGTTTGGTAGTAGAACTCTGGAGATTTGTTCTTACAATTCAACTGCTGGGCCTGACTCAAACCCTGATCCTATTTGTGACATGCAGCTGCCATGGGGCAAAAGTAGGACAACTGATACTATTGCCCCTTTCAATGTCGGGTAAAGAGCCAGTACCTACAAGGGACCGGATAGACACAATAGCCAACGTGAGGAAGACAAAGGCGTTCATGAAGGAAGTTTAGAACGCACGTATCACAAAGGGTATCAAAAGGTAAATAAAAACAGAATTCCCAGCAATTCCACCCCTGAAAAGTCTAATTAATTGGGGGAGGGAGGAGGTCTAATGGAAATTTAAAAACAAAATTAATATTTATTATTCCATGAATACAGTTTCACAGTGTTAGCATAACTCAATGACTCATATCCCAGTAATTTCTATGGGCTCTTTTTCAGTGCTCGCATGTAAATGAAGAGAGAAATTAAATTCCTGGTCAAGAGAGACCCCCTATTTGCCTGGATCACAAAAATTGGCTCCAGGAACTGAGGAAACGTGTTGCCATGGTGAGGAACTTAGGTTGGTCTGCTCTACTCGAAATCTCTTCGTGGTCCCCCTGAACAGTGCTGGAGAGCACGACACCTTCTCAAAGCCGACAAGAAAACAATTTTATTCTTCAAAAGACAACCGCAGAGATAAGGAAAATCACCCCCAGCCTGCAGGGCTGGTAGAAGTGAGCGATGCCATTGAACTCCTAGCTTGGGGGTTGAATACCAATCCCCTTCTGACTCCAATACCTCAAGGTGCCAGGAGAAATAACCCTCACCAGTTTCTCCCGTCCTCAGCAGGAGCAATTGGGTTGGACAAAGGAGGGTGGACAGAGTCTAACTTTAACTCGCCAAGCTGGGCTGCCTCTGTGGTGGAAGCTGATAGCTTGCATCTGGCCAGCAAAACCAGCACTTTTCTTTCTTCCTTTTTTCTTTTCTTTCTTTCTTTCTCTTTTTAAGGTGAGAGATTTAAGAAACATGTCATTTTCACAGGGACGTGTTTGACTCCTAAGCAGCCGCGTGATGCTAGTTGTGTTTGACTTTCTGCTGTTCTCCAAGCACCTGGCCACTCGGGATTTCATAGGCCGAGATAAGAAAAGTTCATTTTCCTTTATTGAAGTATTTGGGTGTTTTTGGTCTGGCTTGTTTAAATTAAAGAGAGAGTGACCCTTCAATATGCATTCTGAAGAAGGGAGGCCTTGTGTAGAGGAGGCGGTTTATCACTGGGCTACTAACCCGAAGGCTGGTGGTTCAACTCCCCTTGGCCCCCGAAAGTACCTCAGAAGAGAGGTCTGGTGCTGTGTCTGACCAGTCAGTGCCGTGCATGTTTTATGGAGCACAGTCTACTCTGTCACGCATGGGGTTGCCATGAGTCAGAAGCAACTCGGTGGCAAGAAGTTTCTGTTTGATTGATCGATCAGTTGGTCTGAAGAATGAAAAGCTAAGTTCTGACCAACACTCATGCCCACTGGGTTGATTCTGACTCCTAGCACCTCTATACACGGTTTCCAAGGCTATGTACATCTTTCAGGGAACAGCCAGCCTCATCCTTCTCCCAGGGAATGGTTGTGGGTTTGAACTGCCAACCATGTGCTTGGCAGTGTCTCATGTTTACTTGACAGTGCCAGCAGGCTCTGACAGTACTAACCATTCTCAAATTTTATGAACTCCTTTAATGGAGTCCTGAACACACAGAAAAGAAAAAGAGGTGCTTTAAATACTCATCTATTTTTCCATCGCACTAGACATCAATGGTGTGAAGACAAGGACAAGTCATTTCTCACTCATGAATTATATTATTCCTTCTACTCTTCACCACAGAGTCCTTGGGCGATGTAAACATGAATGGCATGGCTGTTCACATAAAGGTGGGACTTCAAGTCGACCCAGATATGCCTCCGAAGATAGGCCTGGTGATCTCCTGACAAACTGGCCACTGAAAACCCAACAGAGCATCGCGCTGCACCAGTGGTTCTCAACCTGTGGGTCACGACCCCACGGGGGAGGGGGGGTTTGAACAACCTTTTCTCAGGGGTCGCCTGACTCATAACAGTAGCAAAATGACAGTGATGAAGTAGCAATGAAAATAATTTCATGGTTGGGGGGGGGTCACGACAACATGAGGAGCTGTATGACAGGGTCGCAGCATGAGAAAGGTTGGGAACCACTGCTCTACACTGACACACAGGGGTCATCAGGTGTCAGAATCAACTCCATAACAACTGGATTTATTATGCCCCCCATAGAGTGATCATTCAGACCTAGGCATTTAAATAAACCATCTCACAGTGCCATTATCCCAAAGAGAGGGAGAAGAGGGTTGGTTCTTACTGTCAGCTCCTGAAGAACAGAATTCGGCTTCTTTATGTTGATCTCAATGCCATTGCTGTCTTGCTTCAACTCCACGGGGGACCCGTGCACCCTGGCCACTCCTTCAAACATCTGGGATTTGGTTAAGGAGGGGACAAACACCCCTGAGGGGCCTTCTCTTTCCTTCTCCTCCTCATCTCCGGGAGGCACGTCTCCATTCACGCTCACTTTCCCGTCTACCTATAAAAATCAGAATGAACACAAAACACGCTATTCCCCAACCAAAGGCTGTAACAGAAAAATGACATATTCAGAGCCGCGGGAGGTTGGCCGTGGGGATAACATGCAGGCTCCGCAGTCAAATGCACTGGAAGCATAGAGCCGGAACACCTAGGGAGAAGGAAAACCATGGTCTGGCGCAAGCACAGCCTGGGGCCCAGACCACTCACGCACACTTTCAAATTCTACATGAAGCTGACCAACTTCCTCAGAGGCTTTCCAAAGGGCTGGCTTTCTGGTGTCCATTTAAAGCTGCATTCAATGCAAGGTGCGAGAATGGGGACGTTACTCATTTCAGTGACTCCCACAGGGCAGCTCCTGGCAGTCCCGGGTGGCACAAATGGTTCCTGTGCTTGGCTGCTCATCAAACACTGGAGGCTTGGGTCTGGAGAGGTGCCTTGGAGAAAGCATCAGCCTCGGTCATCTATGTCCAAGAAAGCAGCCCTGAAACCCCCCTGGAGCCCAATTCTACTCTGACCTCATGGAGTGGCCAGGACCGGGAATCATCCCCCAATTGTCTGGAAAGCCACTCCGGGGCTCATTCCCACTGCTGCCCAGTGGATTCCTGGCTCCTTGACACAGATTCCTGCCCACTGCCATCGAGGGCATGCCTGCTCCGCGACCAACACGGGGTTTCTGGGACATTTGTAAATCTTTACAGGAACAGCCAGACTCATCAACCTTCCTCAGAGCACCTGGTGAGTTTGAACCTGGTGCGTTTAATTTGTCATGAAATAGATGTGCCTAAAGCAATGTCACGCTAAAACCACCCTCCCTATAACTGTCCACCTAAAAAACGTCCCAGGAAATAAATAGAGCAAAGTCTTGCTATCCATCCTAATGTTGTTCCCCTGTTAAATCTTCACAATGCACTATTTTACATAAAGGAAGAGAGAGAGGACAAAGCTAATTAAAAACTGTCACTGTCCATGTGTTGGCTTGTGTCAACACCACAACATAACCACTTCATCCTTGATGAAATATAGACAGCGCATCACTGTAGACCCACGGTGAAGGAAGGCTCTTGCCGTGGGCCACTGAGCTCACCTGAGTATGAGTTTACTCATCTGTGCAGATGTCTGCACAGTTCCTGTCCAGGAAGATCCATTCATTTATTCAAGAAACACTTGCCAAGTGCTTATTATATATCCTAGCCATTGATACCAGGCACTAGGGAAGAAGCTAGAGGGGCACAGGCCCTGTCTTTCAAGGACCCGACATCCAGTTCAGTCCTTGCCAGATGAAACGGCAAGGCAGTTTTTCTCATAGTCTATGAGAATTGAAGAATAGGGTCTAAAGACACAACCAGAGATATTGGAGCACCCGTTAGAAAGTATGGTTTGCTGCCCTCTGAAACTTAATAAGGAAGGTCAGTGACATCCCATTGCTCATGAAGGCTTTTAGTCAAGAAAACTTGTTTCATAATCCAAGTAAAGAGCTTCATCTTTTCTTTCTGTTATGAACCTGTGCTGTTCACGTACAGAGAGAATGAGATTTTTCTTTAAAGTCAAGGAACTCTCAACAGAAGAAATAAATGGAATGGTGGTTGGTTGTCACAGTCTTTGGTTCTGGAACATTCTTTTACTGGACAGACAACAACCTCCTTCCCAGGTATTCCTTGCACGCTTAATACAATCATTGCATCTTTTTGAATGAGATCGCAAAGCCTTCATAAAAAGGTCCAGCTATCGTAATGGATTGTTTCAACCCAAAGGCAATTGAAATGTTAGCCTGAGGGTTTTCAATACCGCTCACCAGCTGGATATGCCAAACGCGACAGCGAAAAACCCAGCATGGCCTTTGAGCTGATGCATAAATCGCTCATAACCCAGTTTTGTTTGCTTACCACTCAGGGCCCCTGGTGGCACAAAGGTGAAGCAAATGGCTACTAACTACTAACTGGAAGGTCCATGTTCAAACCATCCCAGCAGTTCAGTAGGCGGAAAGAGGGGGCAGGGTCCTGCCATAAAGAGGATAGCCGAGGAACCGAGAGTGGGCTGTTCTACTCTTGCCCTAAAGGGGTGCCATGAGTTGAAAATGGACTCCCAGCCTCAGACCACCTACCACACTCTCACTTCAAACCAGAACACAGACCTGGCTCATGGGAATGGCCCACCTATCAATCTCACCGGCGCCCATCAGGACCAACCACGGTAACTGGGATCCGCCCATACTCATACTGGCAAACCCAAATCTCCCGAGCCACCGCGACTCCACAGGTGTCAATGTTCAGAAATCGCGGTTCTGTGGGGGTAAGAACTGTGCCATTTTCCTGAGTCAGGATCCCTCTACCCACTGAGGCCCTGGAGTTGAGTTTTGGTCCCCCTCTTCAGGAACTGGTCCTACCTTAAAGGTCTTCAGAACCTCTTGAGAATTTTTGGGCTGGGAGTAAGGCTTGGGCGTCAGCATAGGCACTACTTTGGGAGGGACCGATTTGCTTGGAGACCCACTGCCTGCCGACCCGCTGGTCTCCAGAACGCTGGGGCGAGCGATGGTGGTTTCCACGGTGGCAGTGAACTTGGGTGGAGGCAGTGACTGTTGCCGCAGGTATTTCATAGGGTTGGGGTCGTGCGGGGCGGAGGATGAGTTTGGCTCTGTTGAATGGCTTCTTTCCAGAATTTTTGGCATCTCCAAGCGTTCAAGAACAGCCTCGCTGATGGTGAATCGCTCGATGTACTGCTGAAGGATCCCTTCCGCCTCTTCCTGGGACCGAGCATTCTTATACGCCTCGTGCAGTTCTCTCTCTCTTCGCTCTCTAAAAGGTGGGTGTCGGAGGGAGAAGCAAGGACAGGATCAACAGTCAGGAACAGTGCACGGAAGACTGAAGGGCGGGCACAGACATGTTAAAACCCCGACGCAGTGATGACCAACCGTGTTTCAGAAAAAGGCAGCAGAGCTAGGGCATAGTACACATTGAAACAGAGACAACAGCAAGGACCCACTTTTCCTGAACAATTTCTCTGTAGGTTTTGATGCTTTTCCTCCGTTCACTTGTTCCATCTTCTCCAGCCAGGAGCTTCTCCATTTTTTTCCTTTCTTCCTCTTTCTTGATTAAGTCCTGCGAAGCACTTCTTCTGCGGCTCTTCCATCGAGCCAGGTCCTTCAGGGAGAGAGAGGGGGTGGGGTGGAGAGAGAGAGAGAAAGAGAGAGAGAGAATAAACTCTTCAGAGTTTAGGGAGTACTGACTAGGGATGGGGGCTTGCTCCACAACCCAATGTCTGCTTGAATGGATCAGGAATGTCTCAGAGGCAGGAATCATTTATATCTTCTCTATCTTTTTTGTAGCAGGGGCACGCATTTATTTAAACAGCACACTATGAAATAGGCAATTGTATTCCATATCAGTAGCCAAGTGCTAGAGAACTGCTTCCCAATATATTTATAAGAGACTTCATTTCCTTCCAGTTATGAACCTCTGCAATGTAAATGGAGATTATGCTGATACTGCTGATAATAGAATGCGAAGGATTCACCATGCTTCCTCAAGGAAAGGAGGGAAAACTCCCCAAACGTAACTCACTGCCATCGAGTCAATTCCAACTCATAGCCACCCTGCAGCGCAAAAGGTGTGGGTTTCTGAGATTGCAAACCTTTACCAGAGTAGAAAGCCTTATCTTTCTCCCATGGCGTGGTTGGTGGGTTTGAACAACTGACCTTGCAGTTGGAAACCCCATATGGAGCCCACTGTACCACCAGGGCTCCTTAAAAGAAGGAAAGGTGGGGGAAATTGACTTTGGAGTCTTACTGACCCAACAACTGTATCAAACCTGCTCCTTTCAACAACTTCACTGCTAATCTACCTGATGAAGGGTTAGGGTTCTGGGGTCAGATGGATGGGATTTGTAGCTCTTGGGAAATAACCCCAACTTTTTCTTCTCCAGTCTCTGGAATCTTAAGCAGGTTTCTTAGCCTCAAGGTCTTCCTCTCTAAATTGGGGATGGCATAACACCTATCCTAACCTGCTCGTTGGGAAAGGGAAGATCATGTACATAAAGTGGCCGTCGGTCAGTCTATCGTAGAGGTAGTTATTACCACATCTGACTGACACGGGACAGCTTATTGGGTAATGGTGCAGTCAAGTTCGGAGTATGATGTCTGCATGATCCGTGGGGATTAAATGAAGTCATTATGCTCCTTCCGAAGGGGGCTTCTCCACGTTGGTGGCAAACTTCCGTGATCTTTTAATTCCATTCTTCTACAAACCTTTGGAAGTCTTCTCGGATCTTCAGACTCTCTCACTGTCTCCGGCTCTTTGCTCCAAGTGCACACTCTCTCAATGTCCTCCCTCGGCTCTATAGCCCTCCGTTCCTAATCCAATGGCCGGCTCCTCCACTCACCTAACTGTATGACCAGGGCAGCCTGAAAGGTGAGGCCTGAGGGACCCAAATACCTATTGCCATAGAGTGGGTTCTGATGCCTAGTGACGTGCAGGGCAGAGAGGAACTGTGCCTGCGGGTGCCCGGGAGAGGGTCCATCTTCTTAGGAGGCACCAGCTTTGTCTTTCTTCTGTGGAGTGGCTGGTGGATTTGAACCACTGACCACATGGCTAGTAGCCCAGTACAAAGCCCACTGTACCACCCCCATGCCATCACCTTTGCTAGAAGCTTTGGCCCCAACAGAGAGTGGGGTCAGAGGAGGAGTCTGGATTGCAATGGAGGATGGAGGATGCACTGTCTTTTGATGGCAGCGATTGGCACTGCGACCAGGGTCAGATGCTATTCCACATTCTTGGCATGGATCAATTAGTTAAATCTTCTCAGTGACCGAATCCATTTCAGACCAGGGAGCCGCCCGCCGCCCGCCGGGGCCTCGGCCTGTACTCACATCTTGCCATTTGTCGTCCTCTTCCCTCAGCTGGTTATTGATCAGCTGCAGTTGCTCCTGGCGGGCCCGGCTGTGAGGCTGCACCGTGGCCTCCTCGCAGCGCACGTCAAACATACTCGTGCTCCTGAGCGTGGAGAGAGCAAACATACACCGGGGATCAGCGTCCCCACCTCAGCAACCGGGGGCACTGGCCACGTGGGGGCACTCCTGTCCTTGGAAAACTGCCCGTGCCCTACAAAGCCTGAAACAACAGCAGCAGCAGCAGCAGCAGCAGCAGCAGTAGCAGCAGCAACAGCAGCAGCAGCCTGCTGAGGTCCCTCGGTCCGCAGGTGGGGGGCATATGCCAGGGCTCCCACCTCTATTGCTTTTGAAGCCAAAGCAACCAGTGACCTGCTCTATCCTCAGTGAGGTAGCTTCAGTCATTTCCCGGCTAGGTGTCAGCGAGTCCTTAAAGAAACACATTTGGAGCCCTGGCTGCCTCTTATTTGGAAATGAGGGAAAGCCCAGGAGGAAGGGGATGGAGGTACAGCGTGGGGGAGGCTCTGTGCGGGGAGGGCAGCGTCCTGTGCAGGAAACCCTGACTCCGGCCAACGCTTCTTGGTGTCAAGAGCTGGCTGCAACGCTCCCTATGCTCACGGGGGCCATTTCTCCACGAAGAAACGCAAATGGCACTAAGTGGAAATCACCCCCGTTTTTATTATTGCCGTTTTCTGAATTTTGGGTGCACCCAACGTCGACGAATTGATGATGTCTGCATTTGATGTGCTGGCTTGTTTGCACTCCCTGTCAAATGACCCTTGGCATTTAGGGATCCAAACATCCCGGATGTCATGGTCGACCGAAGGAAGGAAACCTTGAGATCTCTACAGCGTTTGCACTCCAGGAGTCTCACAATAATGTCGATTGATCTCCGCCAGGAAGCCTCCCAACTTACTTTTTCCTTTTTGAAAGAGTAGGAGAAAATAATCTGAGAAAACCCTTAGGCTGTATGTATACTTGACTTACTAGCCTTCCCCATGTTGGGCAGCCGCACGGGGTCCTCTCTGTCATTATTTGATGGCATTTGGTTACAGCAAAAGCTGAAGCGGCAAGATGCAAACCAAAGCAGACACTGAACCCAAAGCCCCTGGTTTTCCCCCTTCTCAGGGAAAGGACTGGCTAAGAGGCTACCATAGGCCCAAATCCCCCCCGGAGGCCCTGGGAAAGTGTACTGTGGACTGACAGGAGCAGAAAACGCCTCTGAAAGTCACTGTTTGGGAGCCAGCGGAACACACAGGAAAGCCATGCAGTGACTCCGACTCCTCGCAGGCACCAGGGTTGTGACAGAAAGAGTTTTCCCACCGCAGCAGCACGGATGCAGACATGTCGGCTCCTTAGCGGGGAGTGCTCTGCGCGGAGCAGTGGGCCACTGACCCATGGCTGCCTACCAGCCCATCGGCATCTGCTCTACCTGCCTGTGTGGGCACCAGGGGGTGTTTTCATTGGCCTCCACTCGATGGCGGGGAGATTTGGTTTTGTTTGGATGCACGTGCTGGGCAATTTCAGACTGGCGAGGGAGAACGACAGCCCAGGACAGTAGCAGCCACTGGTCTTCCTCGGGACAATGTTCCTAACGCCACTGCCTGGAGGGACTCCTGAGGTCTCCATTAGGGCGGATATGAGACATCACTGTGAGGCTGTCTTAACACGCTTTGTGGATAGTGGTGATCTTCACAGCACGCACGCGTGTGCGTGTGCGTGCGTGTGTGTGTGTGTGTGTGATTTCATCCCTATTTTAATTATCAACCTATGTACAAATGTGTAAAAATAAAGAGCGTGCAGAGTTAGGGAAAAATTGCCAATCTGGGTTTTTTTCATTTAAATTTTGTGGATCAAAACTTCCAGAATGAGACTGAAGTGCACCCCATTCCTCTACTCACAGTTAACTAGCAGCAACACAAAGGAACCCTCAAGCAAACCTGTAATTCTAACCAATCCAGGGAGTTTGTCTTTTGAGGGACTTGACAAGCTCTGCTCAGATCCCAGAAGATGGAAAGGCCTATGGGCCCGGCCCCGCGTGGAGTGGAAGAGGGCTGCTTGTGGGAGAGCAGGCTCCGTCCCTGCACTCAGCTGTCTATAATGTTAGAAGGCCCGCCTTTTGGGGTAGACCAGAATGGGTGACCACAGGGTCAGGCCTTCCTCTGGGGTCCCCTTCTCTGGGATTAGGGTTTGGTCATCCCACGCTGGGCACGGGGAGAGCTGAAGCCAGGCTTTCCGAGTCATGTGTCTGCCCTGGGCTCCCAGCTCTCCACACACTGGGAAGCTCTGAGGACCTCAGCCCAAGTGCGGCCCAAAGCTGGCTCGTCACATAAAAACAGAAAGCCTTGCTTGCCCTCTCCTATACAGGGAGTTCTATTTTCCGGATTCTTTCTTTGTTTTTAAAGCGACATACCAGGGAATTTGGCCCGAAGTAGAAATCACTGTGAGCAATCAGTGTTGCCATTGAAGCAAAAAAGCAAGTGAGGACATTGAGAATGGAGCCTCCTGGGCAGCCAGTGGGCAGAGTCACCCACCATGGGAGGCTGCTCTGTAGTTCAGAGGGCAGATTCCGTCTCCCCACTGCAGCGGACTCTGGAGAAGCCGAAGGCCCCTGGAACCGTGCTGTGACCCTCACTCTACGCCTGCCCCTTGGGCTGTCGGGACAGCGGCACCTTTTCGAACAAGACTCTTTTGGTGGCAGTCAGCACTTTTGAGAGCCAGGGTTAAATGACTGCTGAGGGAAGCCTGGGAATGGTTCGTGAGGCGGGTCTAAGGAAAAGGAACGAAGCGTAGAAAGTACCCACCGCCCGCACAAGGCACAGGCTTTTAATGTTTATTTTCCAGGAGAGGAAGAGTGTGGACAGGCAGAAAAGGGCAAGAGGGTGAGTAGAAATCTATGGAAACTTTCCTGGCTTGCCAGGAGATGGAAATGTCTCTCCTGCGTGGTAGGTCTGGCTCTGACCTGCATTTTCCATGAATGGCATATCTTTTTCTGATTGGCCTGCATTTTAAGGATGTGTCAGTTATTAATACATTTTTGAAAAGGCAGGCACTGGTGGTGGTGGGGTTGAGGAGGAACAGGTCATCAAACAAAAAATATGACACATCTCTGTGTAGAAGGTAAACTCCTGATAGAAACATTTGACTTTGCTTCCCACATGATTACATTTTAAATCGTCTCTAACTTTTAGCAGAAAATGTGGTACCTGGAATATGACTAGACAAGGCCTCTGGGCAAGAAGGCATTTTTACTCTTCACAGTCCACAGGGTGGGGCTACCTTTTGTTAATTTAAAGAGGAGAAGGGAGTCCTCATCCTAATTCTGATAATAAAAAAAAGCAAAATGAACCTTCTGGCGGGGGTGGTTTATATTCAGGGATAAGCCGAATTCAAAAGCTTTTAAAGGTAGCATTCCTTCTTCCTAGGGCTTTCCAGAGATCTGTGTTAGGCAAAGTGCACAAAGGCTTTGCATTAAGGGAGACTACACCTATCCCCGCGCAATTTGAAGGAGCCCTGTTATTGTAATGGATTACGTGTTGGGCTGCTAACCACAGGTCAGCAGTTTGAACCCAGCAGCTGCTGGGTTGAAAACCCACAGGGGCAGTCCTCCCCTAACCTACAGGGTTGTGAGTAGGAATTGACTTGATAGTAAAGACTTAGGGTTTGGGATTAATTTTTGTTTGTTTTGCCAACAAATCCAAGTTTTGTTTTGCCCACCCGCTTTATATGAGGGAGGCCACCAAAACTTTGTGGGAAAACTCCATGATCTTCTCATTCGATTTTCCGCACAGATTTTGCAATTCCCACTCACATCATCCGCCTTTCAGCAAATGTTATCTATTGCCATGGCTGATTTCAAAGCAATGACAAGGGTTCAATTTTACAGACTACTTAACCCCATGCAAGAGCCCCGGTGGCATTGTGTGTCGGGAGTTGGACCGCTGGCTGCATGGGCATCAGTTCAAACCCACTAGCCGCTCCATGGAAGCAAAATGAGTGTGGCTGTGCCCATAAAGGTTTACAGCCTCAGAAGCCCTAGGGCGTAGTTCTACTCTGCCCAGCTGGGCCACCACGAGTTGGAACAGACTCGATGGCAGTGGGTTGGGTTTACATTTTGCTAATTCCATTTTGTCCCTAAACAAGCTCAAGCCGAATTTGGACACATAGAGGTTCCATGTGCAGGGCCACCAACCAATAGTAGATCCCACTCCAGAAGCCACTCTCTTGGCAATCGACTCAGACTCAACGCTTAGGGCTAGGGATGCAAACTGAGCGGACACTTTGAATAGAACCATGGAAAATGCCTCACCCGAAAACAATATTCTGCCTCATGTTTCCTATCGGTGTGTTCTGCAATCGCATTCTGACCCTGCCCCCCATGGCCCTTCCCTCTGTGACCTGAAGCTACAGCCCTGGAAAGGGCAAGTGCTGCCCGGCGCTTTTCCGATGGCCCAGACTTCCACAAGGCCACAGAATGCCTTCCGTGGAAGGAGCGGAAGGAGCACGCCGCCAGCTGACCACCGGTGTCGGGATACCTCTCACAGCACAAGTTCCTTCACTGACGGGGCTCCAGTTCCACAAGGAAAAGCTGCACCCTGTATTTCAGTTTCACGAGGGTCGGCAGATGGGAAACCCATCTGTGACAGAGAGCTCCTGTGGTCTCCAATTGGAAGGAGTGGATTCTCCCCAAATCCAGTTGTGGGGTAATGGGTCGCCAAGGGCAGTGGAAACCCAGAGGCAGAGGGAGGGAGCCCAAGCCAACTTTGACCTGCTCGATCCCTGGCTGTGGCACAGAACCCGCATCAAACCCAGCATTACGGTCTCAAGCACCCCACCGTGTGTGTTAGTCCAAGCGGGGAGGAAGTTGGACTTCTGACTGTACAATTAGTGGTTGAGGGTTTATTTTCTTAGCATTTCTTTTTTAAATGTGGCGAGGAGAATGATGACCTCGTCTGTAACGCTAAGCCCCAACTTGTGACTAAGGAAGGGCAACATTCAGAAAACTTTTCTGACGAATCCCGTGGCTCACAAGCAGCACCCACCGGCCAAGCTGGAAGAAGAACAACTCGCTCTCACATGCCCCGGTCTACGAAGAGCAAATGTTAAATTTTAAGCAGCAGCTGCACATTAGAGTCATGCATAAGTTGCATTTTCATTCATCTCTCCTGCGTTGAACATATGTTCTTTACATTCCAATTTCAAATGCTCTCTCTCTGTTTTTTCCCCACTTGAGGCTGTGCGAGTCAGTTAGCTATTCGGTTCACTGTAGCATCAGTTGCAATTCAATTAGTGGTAAGTAACCGGAAGCATGCAGTTTCCGCTAGTCATTCATGTTACCCTGGGAATAAAAGACCACTTACTCTGCGTCATCAGACACAGGAGTTCTGGGACCGTATCTACGAGACCAAATAGAAAGTTAGAGAGGGCTGTCAAGACAAAAAGTTAACACCGCCTCCAAGCTGGAAATAAGTGAAAAAGCAAAACGAAACACAAACAACCAAACGACACACAAACAAAACCCAACGTGTGGTGAAGTGGTAGTGGGCCAGTCCTCTCCGCCGATCACGCTGGAAGAGAAGGGTCATCATATTGGCAATATGCATTAGTAGCTTAAAAGGAAGGAACGATCAGGCCTTTTTTTTTTCAAGAATAGAAAATTTGGATTAAAACCCAAGGGAGAAATGAAAATAAACCCCCGTATTACCCACAAAGAAGAAATCTGTCCAACATAAACACAAAAAGGCTCAGGTACAACCCACAGTGTTCAGAGCAGGCAGCTAGGTAGCAAAAGCAAAAGAAAAAGCTATGTTATGCTCCTTCACCAACTGTTCAGCTGTTCATGCCTTTATTTTTATCTCTAAGGGACAGCCAGCGCATGAGCACATGCTGACTACCCCTGTCCCAGATGTGTTAATGCACCGGCATGAATGGCATCAAAGGGCACTCCTGCAGTTTTCAGAAAGCAAACCAGAGCTCCAACCAGAATCCCAATCAGTGCCTTCTGCATGCATCTGACAGAAACCACAATTCCTAGAAAACTGGCAGCCTTACTCAGAAGCAGGCTTGCACGGTATTCTATGAGCCCAGCTCTCCCGCCCACGGCCCAACCTTTGGATTTCCACTGGACTAGGGGGAGCTAGAAAACCTCCTGTAGTAGAGTCACCTTAAGTTCAAGCGGGTCTGATAAAGCAAAGACAGAGACCTAGTTAGAAAAATGAAAGAGAACCCCACAAGCGCAAATAGTAAGCAAAGTTTTAAACAGCAGCTCCTGCTAATGAATGCCGTCTTCTCATCAAAGGCCAATTTGAGTTACTGGAAGGGTCCTGTCTATATTCCATGAGACCGTTCACGTGAACACTCTTGACAGAGGACAGAGCATTATCTAGGCAATGGGAAATATATCTTGTCTTCTGCTTCCAGCCCACAAAGATGTGCAGATGGCCAGCAAAAATGACTTGGTCTCAGGCTTAGGTTCATAAAAATGGATAGGGAAAAGAGTGATTTCTAAATCCCTCTTCCTGGGATCTTGAAAGACCCTGGAAGACATGAGTGTACAGACACATCCGCCCTTCTGCCTCTGACTGTTCTCGTTCTAGATCAGCCGGCCCCCAGCAGTAGCCTTTTCCTTCATCCTGAAAAGCAACCACGCCAGGGCATTCCCCACAGTTTGTGTGGAGAGGGCTACAGGCAAACTAGGGGAGGCTTGGTGGCCGGAAGACTTGTTTTCAGTTTCTTGGGGCAGGGTGATTTCAGAAGATTCTAATGCTTAACCCAATAGTCCCAATTTCCCCCAAAGCACCATGACCCTGACAAGAGGATGAGTGGATGGCCACTCACAGAGAGGGAGTACAAGTGTTTTTCGCCAATGTGTGCAAAAGGCACTGGTTGGGGTTCTGATGAGACAACTGCAGGAACAATCTTTGATGCCAGTCATGCCAATGCATCCACACTTCTGGGCCAGTTCACAAGTGCATATGCACTGATTTTGAATAAAGGGTCTCTCAAAACATTTATAAATAGGCCTATTGCAATAGACTTATTCAAACTTAAAAATATATCGCCATTCCTTCTCACTCATGGTGACCCCAGCTGTAACAGAGGAGGACTTCCAGTGGCTAGGAGTAGGAATGACTCAAGGGCAGTGGGCTTATGGATTTTATGGACGGTCACCAGGCCTCTCGTGTGTGGTGCTGCGGGGTGGGCTCAAACCACCGACCTTCAGGTTAACGGTCAAGGGCAAATGGTTTGCAGGGCCACATAGTGATTTCTATATGGTGGCACAATTCAATGCTCTCTTGTTGTTGTTAGGTGCCATCTAGTCAGCCCCTACGTATAGTGACCCTACGTACAACAGAAGGAAGCACCGCCCGGTCCTGCGCCACCCTCACAGTTGTTCCTGTGCTTGAGCTCGTTGTTGCAGCCACGGTGACAATCCATCTCATTGAGGGCCTGCCTCTTTTTTGCTGCTCCTCCACTTTACTGAGCATGATGCCCTTTAGATTGGCAGTTTGAAGCCCTACCCAGTGGCTTTGTGGGAGAATAATCCGGTAATCTGCACCCCTAAAGATTACAGCTCAGTAAACCCTACTCTGCCACACAGAGCCACTGAGTCCAAATCACCTGGTGCCCAACCACAAAATCAACGCCCCGACTTCTAAATTACCTGTGGAAGAAAGCCAAAATGCTATTCCTAATGAATGGCTTATCTGGAAACGATCTGTTAGTCTTGTTGCGGTGTCTCGGTGTCTCACTTGGATCTTTTTGTTAACATTTTCATGAAGGACAACATACAGATGTACCATACTCCCAGAGCGCCAATGAAATTTCCCAAAGCGCCCAGAGGTTAGTTTTGCACCAACAGTTCATATAGACACGTGCAGATGCACGCTTTTGACTTTGACTTCTGTAGCTCAGCCGTCTATGAGGGTGACTGCTACGTTGTTGGACACACGATATATTTTAATTTAAATCATTTCTATGTAACACATTGCACAGCATTTCAGAGACATCTCTTCTATCAAAATGCATAGGTTGACACTTGTCAACCATGAATGTAAGCACCACAAGGGCAGGGATGTTTCTGGTTGGATTCCCGCACAGTGGCTAGCGTGGGCCCTGAGGAAGTGTTGAATGAAAGATCGAGTGAGTTCTGTGGATACTGTGGGAATTGAAGGAAGCCAGGTCAGCATCACAGCCACACACAAACCTCCTTGGGCGACGGGGTGCTGGCTGCGCACGAGGTGCACTGGCTGGGGCTGGAACCTGGGTCTGATGCATGGAAGGAGCGAAGTCTACCAATGAACCATCACAGTCCCACACCCAATGCATGACTCTGTAAATATTGCAAATAAACATAAATTCCCAAAGTGAATGTTTTCTCAATTGCACAATTAGGCCACCTAATTAATCTGATTGTACCCCCTTGGGTTCAAGTGAACCCCTAATTCTCATTATACTAGAAAGAGGGTGCTTTCTGAATCACAAATGGAAGGTCAGCTAGAAGTGCCAGGTGACATGAGACTTCTGCAAGCTGTGTGGTGTTGAGACAGTAGTGTTCATGTGCAGTTGGGCTTGGACCTTGGCTCTGTAATGCCTAGCCCTGTGGACACTGGCCTCCACTCCCCTAATTGGGAAATACAAATGAACATCATCTGAAAGGTCGTGTGCACAGTAGAGAAATGGCGTTGGCCCCACAACGTTATTGAGTAGGCAGCTTGAAGCCCTCGTTTCCTTCTTCTTGCTCTTTTTATGGTTTTCCATTCTAATGTGCATTCAGCCCCTTCCGCCTAGCAGTGAGAGCCTTAACTATTTCATCACTATTCTCCCCAAAGCCATTGATAACGAGACCCCGGTGTTACAATAATGATATATTATTTTCTAAAATAAATATAGAGCATAGATGAAATCCAGATGATCACAATGGTGAGAATCACCATTTAAAAGTTTTTGAAATTAAGGCTTTTCCTGATCTCTACTCCAGCTTCCAATCCACTCTCATCAAAATCCTTAGTGAACCATTACCCAGAAACACTTCTTGCTCCTTCCCCTGGACACTGATCAAGCAGGTTGTATTCTCATGTCATAGCACCAGAGATTTCAACACAGTGGGCCTGACCCCTGAACCAGGGGTCCTCAAACTTTTTAAACAGGGGGCCAGTTCACTGTCCCTCAGACCCGTTGGAGAGCCGGACTATAGTTAAAAAATATATGAACAAATTCCTATGTACACTGCACATATCTTATTTTGAAGTAAAAAAACAAACGGGGCAAGAACACCCGGCGGGCCAGATAAATGTCCTTGGCAGGCTGCATGTGGCCCTCGGGCCATAGTTTGAGGACCCCTGCCCTAACCCAACCCCCCTGGGCCTACCAATTCCCTGTTCTTCATCTTCAATCAAGTCAGTACATGGGGACAGGAACCCTGCTAAAAAACTCTTTGCATTTGCTAATGTTGGAATTAAAACAGATGGAATTACAAATTTTATGAGTGGTCTACATCTTCTTTGGACTTGAATCCCCTCTGACATCACGGTCAAACCAACCTGGTCAGAGAGAAGCTCAAGCGCCTAATGAGCGAGGCAGAAACCAAAGTATTTCTCATTTATTCGGTCCGCAAGATCAGTTCCAAAGAGTGTTCTCCTGGACACCCTCACCACTCCACTAGCCTTCTCACACCTGTTCACATGCAAGGAAGAAAGACATCGTTGGCAGACCTGGCCAGCACCAATCATTCCACAGCTACCAGCAGTGCAGCTCAGCGGCTCTGCTGCACCAGAACGCATTAGTAGCGCAGTCAAAGCTCAGAGCGTCTCAAGGCTGAGGCTGGAGAACCAAAGTCACAAAGGGCAAGGAACCACCTCTGACCTCTTGTCTGGCGCCGGTGGCCTCTTGGCTGATCCCTCCACATCCTTTTGTTTTGCGAATGGAACTGGAAGGAACTGGTTTGGGTTGAATCTAGTGTGTCTACGGGACACTCCCGTTCGCCTGGCCATCATGTCATCTTTTCGCGAGTCAGACAGCTTTGCTTGGCCTTTCGGTCTCGGTCCACTGCCATTCCAGGTTGGCGCTGCCATCCTCTCCGAGTTGTCTTCTATCCCTGAAGCCTCCCATTCGGAGGCCAGAGGGCGCCCACTAAGACAACATTCAGTCCGGCCCATCAGAGGTCATCTGTTACTAAGGATGCTCCCAGTAGCATCACTCACTGCCAGAAACGTACTGCAGAAGAAGCCAATATCGGGGAGGCAGCAGCACACATAGCAGCTGAGTCGGAGATACCTCTTTTATCATACACCCGCCATCATCATGCAACTGGTACTTACATGGGAATGCGCTTCCCTTTATGGCTTCCCTCAAGTTTCCCCAGAGAAAGCCTTTGCAGCATGAACTCTGGCCAGCC